CCTTGGGGTAAATATTATTTGTTTACTTGCATAAAATCAAAAGTTTTTTTTATATTTAATTAAATGATTTATTTTAATAAATTACAAGAAATTACAAATAAAAAAAAATTATCTAAAATTTTATTAAAATTGAATGAACTTTATAAAATTTTTTTGAAGAGATAGACAATTATATTAGTAAATATAATATATAATTGAAAGACAAATTAAAATTAAATTAATTCAATACGCACGAGAATTGTCTTTTAAGACAATGATTATTTTGAGCAATGTTTTAATTTAAATCTTTTATTTGTGTGTTACAGTATCATCGCAGCTTCGTGGCTGAATAACTCCGCCCGTTGCGCTTCGAGTTGGTGAGTGAAACATTTTTTATAAAATGGGGTAACAAATCTGTGAAACTTATATGTATTGATATAAAACTTTATATATATAATGTCCCTGTAATAGGACAGCAAATAGCCACAATTCTTCTCACAGATCTGTTACATTAAAATAGACAGATTATATCAGATTAGGCTAAATATTTAATTCTGGAACTTCTCTTTTTCTCTCTTATTTTAAATTTTTCCAGGATTAAATATTACATGAATTGGCAAGAAAATAATGTATAAATAAAATTAGTATACCCATATCATATCATACATTAATGAAAAAGATAAATTGAAAGTGTAACAAATCTTTTTTTAATTGCATATATATAATGCGCCGATACATCAGCATTTATCCTAATCTTTTATAGTCTATCTATTAGCTTCAATTGTATTAATAAATAAGACAAAACAACATGACATAAGATACAGTAAACGTTTTATCGCTGGAGAGAATTTTTTAATATTATCTTAAAGTTAAAAAAATTTTACATTAATAATTTTAAAAAGCATAATTTTAAATAACACGTATTACTGATACTGATATAGGTTCTTGTTAACTGAACGCATTCTAGGCGGTTTTTTTTTCATATTTCCATTAAAATATTATAACCTTAAAGCATAGATAAAAAGACACGCGTTTTATATTTTAACATATGCATTAATAAATATATATAACGGTTTGACAATTTGAAAACATTTTTAATCGTTGATTGTTTCTGTACTTTTAGAAGCAATTACCAAAGCGAGAAAATCTCACTGTTGTTTTTTTCTGTTAGAAATACGATATATAAGATATTAAGAAATACGCTTATACGGCGAGAAACCATAACAATCGTTATATCGTAATGGGTTTTTTTAATAGTCTCGTTGAAAATTGAAAGTGCCTGCTACAGATTCAGAATTAAACCCGAGTTTTCTCGTAATCACGGATTCCCGGTAGCAATGATTTTGGCATCAGTTGGCGACGACCACCATATATTTTTCAAAGTCGAGTCGCGAAATTAATAATGAAAAAATGAATCATGGGAAAAGATTTTATTCGTCTCTCAAATGTTTTCCCATTAATGCTATTACTAATATATTGATTCGATCTTGTTGTGTAATACTTACATTACGCAACGACAAATGGAAAACGGTGACAGTCGTTAATTTCTTGCCAAAATGATTGTTATCCGGGGGCAATCCGGAAGATTCGGGATTCATTCCTTCCTGCAGTAGGTCTCTTGACATTCAACGAGGCTTTTACAGACAAGAAATAATTACACTACATTTAATAATAATATTAATAATAATGAAATCAGGATAGCATTGCGGAATAGAATTCACTTGTAGGTATACAATAATATATATGACATAAATATATTTTTTTTAATCGTTTCATTGAAATTTGAGTG